TCCGCGGCAGCCGCCGCGGTCTCCCCCAGGAAGACGCCGTCCCTGTTGTCCTCTTGGTGGCGTCTTGGCGACACTACGTCTCGTACTCCGGGACAATGCCTGGCGGGCATAGGCAGTCAGCCGGTCGGCTACTTGACAATGGATTAAACAAGCGCCGATCTTTTGAGAGGTGCCCGGTTCGTGGAATCCTCCGGGGAGAGCCCTTTGACCAGCGCCGTCGTCGTCTGCCGGTTAACGCGCTAACGATGCGTGACTGGCCCAGGCAGGAGATAGAGTGGCGGCTCCAAAACCCTCTTTGGCGACATTCCATCCCGTTGGCGCCGCTGTCAATCAGTAGGCGACGTCTCGTGGGGCCGGCCTCTGTTGCTTCCTCCGTCCAGACGTGGCGAGACTGTCCTTTTTGCACTAATCCGGCGTGGCAAATGACTCGCTGGGTCAAGGCATAGCCCGATCGCTACACCATGCGCCATCTACCGTTGACTGTAGTACTGGGCTGGAATCAGTTATTTTTGTTATTGAAGGGCCTTTAAATTTTCTACTGCATCGTAGCGCAATGTTAGTTCGCAGTTTTCACGCGTAACGCTTATGTGTAGTATGACCGTCACATTGCTGTTTTCGTAGCAAGACAAAAGCTATTATGGTGTGCCTTAAACGGCGTTTCGTTGGCTAGGTGTCACTTTGTGATAAAGATTGCGACTGATAACAGTTCTGCTCATACACTGCTCTCGAGGCGAAAGCATGTAGACGTAGGTGCCGAAAAAATTGTGTCGCGTTAAAAAGTGAACAGTTAAAATTATTTTTGTCAGAAAAGACATGGGCTATAGAGTGAGGGATGGATGCTTTTCGGGCGCTGTGGTGCTGTCTACCGCCGCTGACGTAGCGGTAATGTCGCGAAGACGCTTTCGGCTACGCGCTACAGTGGGTTGTAAATGTTTGCAGTGGACTGTACTTATTCAACGAGTCTTGTTTTTTCTTCAGCGTTTCTAAAAAGTAGCACTGGTTCAAAATATGTGGTGTGTGTGTACAGAGAAGTGAACGTGCTTTGTAGTTTGCTGTTGCTAGTGTGACGAAAAGCAAAAGTTTGGTTCCACGACTCGCCGCACGCTTCATCTGAAGAAGCTCGTGCACGAGGCGAGAAGCAGCAATCATTCTTCCCGGGAATGAGGCAAAGAATACTTCGTATCAAGAGCAACGCCACGTCTACATCCCAAACCAGGGCTTGTTTTCGCAGCCACGACATTCTATATCAGCATCGTTCGGCGGCTATACAAGTGAGCCCACGTGTGCCAGCTTTCGAAATACTCTAGGGTTTGCCCTTTCCCGCGCAAGGACGACGGTATACCGCTTTCTCTTCGCACTCGTTCGAGCCGTCCCGCTCGCTCTTTGTACTTAAGGCGCGTGTTCGCGTGAAAGATGTGGGCGCCGCTTGTTGACAGCGCATCGTTGCTTTTCGCTGTCTTCCCGAGTACTCGGCTTTGCGCCGCCTAATTAATGATGCTGGCCCGGTATGAAGAAGAAGCTCCCAGGAGAAACTTCACGGTGAACTGCAGCAGATGCGGGAGCTTCTCGTTCTGCGCACTGCCTGTAGCACGTCGCGTGCTTCTTTGCATATATTTTTACTTCTGCTTCAACGCCTTTGTTTTTCCCTCGCTCCCATGCGCTCGTCGCTTTGAGGGCCTGCGATGCCAACAGGCTTTTTTTTTGTTACCACGGTAATTCGTCCTTGTTCGCTTCATTTTTATTTATCCGGTCATTTGCTACGATGGTGTCTGAGCTGTTATGGCAGAAATATGCATGGCATAAGTATTGTCATACGCTACCGTAAGTAATTAGTACATGCAAATGGCACAGAATTCCCACCGTGATTGTTGTTTCTTCTTAGAAATGTTTTACAGACAGGCTTCGTTAAAAGTACCAGGTGTTTGTAATGATGTCTCACACTAGCGAAACATATCTGGGAAGAGGCAGAATGTTTGCTGTGCGAGTAGTTCAAGTGAATACCGGATACTAGCATCTGTTTAACCTCCCCGCCTTCCTTTTTTCTCGTTTCTCTCTCTCAAGCGAATGGCTCTCGCCTCTACAGATCTTCATTTCCTTTGAAGCACTCAAATAGTAATTTCAATTTTGACTAAAAAGTCAAGTGGTTCCTTTTCTCTTGATAGCTTTCCATAAGTGTGCATTATGAAAGAACAGATCCACCATAGTGCGGTATACGAGTGCAATGGTATTCTATTCTTTAACCGTTTTCTTCCGAAATATATCACTTTGTTATTTTTAATGACTTGAAATATAAAAAAAAAGCGTGATCTATATTGATTACGTAGTGCCTTTGTAATGTATCAAGTAATAACTACCAACGAGCATTTTCCGCTCATTGATAATTACAGAACTGATTCGTGATAACTTCAGTGGTAACTATCTTTCTTTTATTAGTATACTTAGTAGTATTATCTTCTTTCCTTCAACAGACAACTTGGAAAAGTGAACATTATTCTAAGAAAACTGCGACTCTTTAATGTCAAGTAATTTCGGAATTTCATGAGCACAAGGTCACTTAGTGACTTGAGTGATACTTGAAAGAAGTCAAGGCGTCACGTAATCTTCAAATTTGAACTCGATGTGCTTGTGTACTAATTGAAAAAAAAATACGAGTTCGCTATCAACAGGGACTCATAAAGAGACATACCATGCAAATGGATTCAGGTTCTAATTTTTCTAGTTAATTAACAGCAGGAAACTGATGGTCCACAGGCACAGTATTATTGCATTTGTAAGCAGTAGTGTAGGCCGTTGAAATGGTAAATCAGAAATTAGCAGCAAAAGTTATTCTAAAAAAAAAGAGCCGCTAAAGCTACTTATACTCAGGTATGCGAGGCACAACCTGTCCCTCTCTTATTCCTACGTGTCTCTTATCGATAACAGCCTGGTATTCTTGTCCGGAATTTCAGCTTTACCTACCAAGATTTTAGACCTCCGTATAGTTGCGCTAATGGCTAAAATTGTGGATGAGGAGTTGAGCTTTCATAATAATGTTTGTCTAGAAATACCGATTCGCTAGCTCCGATATGGCTACGGCGTTGGCACAAATTGACACGTTATTTTCTCACCCACTGCGGCGGCATTTATACGAAAAAAAAATAACACGTGAATTGGGGCTGATGGGCGCATCTCTAGCAAATAAAAAAAACATGCACACAACTTTGACAGGACGCATTTTAGTGCTTACCGTATGACGATAAGATTCAAGAGGTTGTCCAGTGGTATTGCTGATTACTAAACTTCATTACGTAGTCCAGTGGAGTCACTGTTTTCGCTAAGAGATTAAAGCTAAAGAAAAGAAGCTCATGTCAATGAATGACTGACGATAGCAGCATCAATAGAAGTTCGACATCCTTATCTCTGACTGAATTTAGGAGCGGTGCTTTTGCGAACTGTCTTTCCCGAGAGCTGTATTTATTGTCCGTATCGTGTCACAGGCTGCACAAAACGCCGAATACAACCAAAGCTTTCTTATCGTTTCCTCGTATGCGTAAGCGAATCTGCTTGTGTAGAAATACTTCCCTTTGTGTACGATACTTCATGTCCCACCTTCCTTAACGCACTTCTTTGTGGCTGGGCGGTTACATGCGCGAACTGTTCCACCTTATCTGGGCTTCTTAGTCACACGCCTAGCTCTTCCTTGGTTCCGACAGATAAGGGACATACAACTTACTCCGAAGAAAGCGCGCGAAACTAGTACGGGCGTATGTTAAAGAGCGAAGCGGAAAAAAGCATCCCGGTCGCTCTTGTATGCGTCTCTTCATGCCGCCGTGTTGCACGAAAACTACAGGCCCATATCGCGAACGCCTCAGGGTTTCTATGCGGTAGCACAGCGGAAAGAAAGACCTCTTTCTTCGTTTCCCCCGTTGTCACGCGCCCATAAACAACGCGCTGCGGGCATTTTTCGTATACAATGGATGCGCGCTCTTTGTTGCCCGCAGCTCTCTTTCTCGTTTTTACAGAAGCGTGGGCCGAAAACGAACATCTGAATGAGAATAATGCCGGCGAGCGAATCTGGTTTTGCGGGAAATGGAACACCGAAAAATTTAAAAGTCTGCAAGTTCGCAAGAGTTAAATTAATTTTGATATGCAAATGTAAGAGCGCCACGCGCAGACAAGTCCAGCTTGCGTACAGTATTACAAAAAAATATTTGTATGCGATACGAATACATTCACTGTTCATGGGGTGTTCTTTCTGTATGTACCGACACGTTAACGTCAAATCTATGCTGGTCATACCGACGTTCTTATTGCCATTTGGGTGTCTGCATTGTCTGCTTTCAAAACACGGGTAAGATATTGCCTCGAAGATGAGCCCACTTGCATAAACAACAAACGGCATGCCATCTTTGTAATTTCGAAACAATGGTGTTGTTGTATACTATATGGAATTTCAGTGTTAGGCCACTTTCGTTCGCATGGATCAGACAGTATGCGCCATGCACATAGAGAAAGACTGGGATCTTTGTGTGCATATGCTTCTTTATTTGCTCAGTATAGTCGGCAGTGATAGTAAATAAATTCAGTACAGCAATATTGACTACGGAAGACCAATCATATGTCACAACTCCGCCAGCACGCATCCTCACAGTGATGGAAGGACTGAGTTTTTGATGATCTCAAACATGCCGAAAACAAATACAGTGACAAATCTTTACGATAAAAAAAGTTAAAGGCGCAACCCACGTTGACGAAAAACAAAACAGAAACAAGATACAGCGTCAAGTAAGCTCTGTAGAAGGAGGGAAAAAATGGTAAGGGCCCACTATGGAGAAACGTAGTTCTCTAGAAGCTTACTAGCTTCTTTTACGTTTACATGGATTGCGCCCTTAACCATCTTCATGAACGAACCAGCAAAGAACACGTTCTAAAAGTCTCTATAATTGCGTATTTAACTTTCACGAAACGTTAGAACGCGAAGAGATGTACGTGTAGTGACGGCTTTTCCCGTGTGTGCGCAGACCCTCCGGAGATCAAGTACGAGGGTCATCCTCGCGAGGAGGTCGAAGAGGGCGGCTCGCTGACGCTGAACTGCGTGGCAGACGCCAATCCACCGGCGAACATCCTGTGGCGCAAGTCGGGACAGTCGAGCATCTACGACATCAACAACAGCATCCACTTCCCTTCCATCCAACGCACAGACTCGGGCGTCTACAGCTGCTCGGCCAAGAACGACTTCGGAGAGAGCGCCGAGATACAGGTCACCGTCAACGTCAAGTGTAAGTCCTTCGTTCTCCTCCAACTTTCCTCCTCTCTATCTTTATCACAAGCGTGGGGTACGTTAGTACTGTAGATATTAAAGTGTGACGCATAGCCACCATGGCTTATTGGCGAAGAACAGGGCAAGTTAGGTGAAGTATCTTGAAATACAGGAAAGGAGATATTTTTTCTGTTCTTTAATAAGAATTCTTTTTATCAGGTTGAATTCTTCTAATATGAAAAGCAGGGGACTTGGCGAAAAAGATTTTATATAAGAATACAAAAGAATATACAATGAAGCCAATATTGGTTGAATAGGGAACCTAATGGACTGTGCTGCAAAATCTTGAACAGCCTCGCATACATTGTACTCGTTAATTCGTGTAACTATGGGTGACACCTCACCATCTTATCTCTGACCTGTACTCTCAATATTATGTCCTTGCCACGTCTTGAAATTTGGAAGCCCGGTAAGTTAATAATACTGGTTTACTCGCAGCGCATTCAAAGAAGAAACGATTTGCGGGACCATAGAGGCAAAAAAAAAGTTGATTGCAAGAACGAACAGCATTTTGTAAGATTGTGTTATTTCAGTGTCAAAGTTTATCATAAAGACGAACATTGTTTATGTGTTTGTATGTGTCATTAATTATGCTATAAAGAATGACTCTAAAGTGAGAGAAGCTCAATGCAAGTTTCAGTGCTGATGATATAAAAAAATCTGATATAAAAGTGTTTGAAGAAATTTTGTGCACGGCTACTTTGTCGTTGTGTAATATCCCGGGATATATAAAATATAAAATAAAACAAAAGGTTTACCACACATAAACGTTCAAGATGTTACTACTCTTTTTTTTTTCTCCCGCGTGGCTCGGGCGCCTTTATTTGTAGCACAATGTACACCACTGAGATCCTGCCATCCTGTATCCGTGTATTCTATTCTGAGGCATCTGCGCCGAAAACACGCGAAATAAACACGTTACCCTGTTCGCAACCAAGCTAATATGAAACGAATATATCATAATTCCTGCGTGCAAGGTCTGGTGCACGGATTCGCTTTATCGGAAACATGCCACGGCAAAGTAGATGCACCTACACGTGAGTGATGTACCTAATGCGGTTTCGGCGGGCTCTCGGGTCTCACACTGATGGTTCTGGCACTCGTTCTCACTTTTTTTTTCGTATCCACATTTTTTTCTCCAGCATATCTCATTAGGCTTGATGTACGCAGGAGCTTCTCGTGGGGGTTGCGCCATCTGGCGTTCGTTCTTCCGCGTTAGAGAGGGCTGCCAAAACAATAGCGAAATTCGCGGCTACTTCGTTTTAGCAGCGTATTGTTTTTATGAAAGATCGATAACGGCACGTAATGTTATGTTTACTTCTTGATCACACGTGTTTTCTTCGTTGCTCGTGTAAAAACGACCTGAGTTCGTTTTCAAGATGTATTTCCCAAGACGTCGTACTTACCAGCAGTTTACGCAAGAAAAGAGGCATAACTAGAGGTGCACATATTTATGCTTCATAAACGCAGGTGCTATATCGTATAATTTATTTCGGGTTCTATAACGTTTACTTATGGTCAAGTTATAGTTACTGCCAGGCGATAAGCCATCCAGCGCTTCAATTTGCGATTGCATATCCTGGCGGCATATTTCCCACTCGTAGCAGATTTGTGCCTTCTGCGCAGCTTATTTTATTGCTAACGCAACTAGTACGCCTAATGACATCAGTAATGAGGCTTCGCTGTTATAATTACTGAAACATTGCTTGGTTTTTGTTTTTTTCTCACGAGCAGACAGGCCGAAGATTATCCAAGTGGACCCTTCGTCACCGGCCACATTCAATGTGGACGAAGTCATGACGTTGCATTGTGTCGCCGAAGGAAACCCTGTGCCAAAGTAAGTCTCTTTTTACCATTGCATGCTCTTGTTTAACGCTGAGTTGACAACTAACTTTGGCTAGCATGTTTGCGGTAATTCAGGCGTATAGAATGTTAGCCCACCAGTTCTGCATTTCAACTTCTTGGAATTATTTTATCGGCTTTATTTCAACTCTGAAGACATTCAAATCTGTTTCCGCAATAAGTATGTCTCAATTGACGAACGTCACGTGAAGCAGGAAACATGTGTGTGTTATTTAACGTATATTCACTACTTCAGCTCGGAGCTGATTCGCTTACTGGGCAGCTGAGTTTTTCGAAAAACCCAGATACGGAGACTGAATATTGTACGCCAGCTGCATAAAATCAAGCATGCTGAGCGTGATTTTGACACTAGCCGTTTTAGACCAGCTGTTACACTGTACACTAAGACTACAAACGTACAGCGTAATTGCTTTCAGCGTACGTTGTTAATACTTCTAAAAAACTCCTTTTTGGAGAGGGCATTGATTTTTTATTGTGCATTAATAAAGAATGATGTATGTGGGTGGCGATGGCTACTCATCGATTCTTCTTTATTAGGTGACATCATAAAGTAGTGAACAAAAGAAGCGAGAACAAAGGCAAATAGACACAAGGACGAGCGCTCACGCACTTAGTCCCGGTACTTGAATTTAAACAAATGTTAACGCAGTAAAAAAGTTCTAAAAATACAAATATTCACACAAACATAATCTCCACGCATAATGCAAAGACGTGCCATAGTCTTCTTTAAAAAAATATATCAGGTGCCTGCAAATTGTCTGTCAGTTGCCCCACTTTTAACTACAACAGTTATCTTTGCAGAGAGAAATTCTGCGCAAAATACGAGAAATGTGCAGTTACATGTACCGGTTAGTAGTGACAATTGTCTTTTCTTCATCGCAGGATCACGTGGCTACAACAAAACGGAAGAGACCCCAATGTGTGGAACATCCGTGGTCGCAACGCGACGCTCATGGTTGCCAACGTCAGCTACAGCCACCAAGGCGTCTACCGCTGCGAGGCGAGCAACGTTGTCAAGAACCAGCCCTATCGCGTCCAGTCGCCAGAAGTGCGCATCGATATCCGAGGTGCGACCTTCACGCCCTACGCCTACCGTGGTTTGTCGTGTTACAATGTGCGCAAATTATACACGAAATCTGGGGCTAACTCGTTGCACGGCTTGTGCTCCGAGTGTGTTTCCCGGCAAGCGTTCACTTCAGTGCGAAGAAGCTAGCTTCGCGGAATTACACGGGAACCCTTGAAATTCGGTGCACTCGAGGGAAGTAAGGCTGTCGTATGTTGTCGTATGCTGTCGTCGTTGCCTGGTGTAACGCAGGCAAAACCCGACATAACACAGCCAGCTGTAGCATATCCAGTGCTCGCTCGCGTCGAGGAGTACTCTTCTTGCTCTCGTTCTTCGAGCGTCTTGATGATGATACAGTTAACCTGGATATAACAAAATTGATAGATTCTCGAAAAAGTTCGTTATAAATAGGATTCTGTTATATACAGGTTTGGTACGAAAATTCGTAAAATAAATGCGCAAATTAAACAAAAAGGGGACTGAAGGCAGAGTTAACTAAAACACTCATTTTACAGTAAAAAATAAAACTGCGTTATTGTTGCGGTAGAAATTGTATGGATGCTCTCGGTAGGCTTTTGCCGTCGCCGCCGTGTCCCGTAACAAGTCCAAATTAATAACACGCCCCCGCGCATCGTAACTTTCGCGAGCGGGTAAAAGCGCGCTAGCGCTGCTGAAGCAGAGCGCTGCTGAAGTCGGCCCATCTGAATCGCCTGGAAAGTGCATAACATCTCCCGCGTTTTAGAACTGCCGTCGAACTGCCATCGTTCAAACAAAAAATAAACCATCCCTCTTGAACGAGCATGAAACAACCTGGGGAGAGGGGAGGGGAATCGCTCGAGTAGTAACAATGAACTTGGATTTTAAGGCCGCGTTCATACTGAGCATTCCAGCCGCCGAAAGTGCTTCGAATTCGGTTCGGAGGCGGCGAGATCCGCCGAAAGGGCCCTCTCCGCGCCGATCGCTCTCGGACCGATTTTTGCGGCGTCTGCCGCTGACTGCCGCGCTAGTCAAGGAATTTTGAAAAATGGCGGCGAAGCCCTACTCACTTGTTATGCCGCAGTACACGTAATTGAATGTTGAAACCAACGGGAGTTGAACCTACTCTGTGCCTACTTCACCTCCGTATTTCGTGAAAGAGGTGACCGTGCTTGCTGTTGGCGTAACCGAGCTTGTTGTGGTCTTGCAGAGCATGGATGGATGGATGGATGGATGGATGGATGGATGGATATGGCTGTACCCTTTAGATCGGGTGGTGGCTCGCGCCACCAAGCCGTAATGCTTAATGAACCAAAAACTAGTTTTATTTTGTTTCTTTAATAAGCGAGTTTGCGGATTCGTACTTTGCAGTGAAGAGTTTTAATTTTCACTCGTGCCTTGACTTTAGCCACCAATCAGATAACCTCCTTCTAGTTAAGTCTACCCGCTTAAAGTCTATTTTGCCCTCCTGGTCCCTAAACTCCATTGCTTTGAAAAACTCTGCGCCATCATCCTGAACTATAGGGTGAAGCCCTTTACAGAACATTATCAAGTGTTCGGCAGTTTCTTCTTCCTCTCCACACGCACTGCATACTGTGTCTACCCCTTCGTATTTGGCCCGATATGTCTTGGTTCGCAATACTCCCGTCCTGGCCTCAAACAGTAGAGAACTACCCCGAGTATTATCATAGATCCTTTCCTTGGCAATTTCCTGCTTAAAGTTCCATAGATCTCTAGTGCGGACTTCTTAATAATGCCCATTCTCCACATGTCAGTCTCTGCAAAACGAACCCACCGACGCCGCTGGCGTCGGTGTTTTTTCTGCTCTTCGTGCATTACAAGACAGCCACTTGCCAGCATAGTAAGCAGTACTGTCTTTTCTTGCTTCTTGCGTACGAGAATCGTCGAAGTATACACCACCGGATAGCGTAGTAGCGTTTGCGAGCCGCGACAACAACCGAATGACAGCGCATCCATACCGCGTTCGCCCCGTAGTGGATGGCATATTCGGCGGCGCAGGGCGCGTCCAGTGCGAACGACGCTGCGTTTCGGCGGCAAGGAAATTTCGGTCGCTGTAGAAAGCGGATCTTTCAGTGTGAACTAGTCATAAGGGTGGTCACGATCGCTGGCGCGCTTGCCATCTCGGCGAGTATCCGAGTGGTCTAAAGGCTAAAAAACCGTGTGAAAAGAGCACTTCTCCCTGGAGCGGCCGTATTTGCTCACACAAGCGTTTTGTTGGTTGCCAAGCCTTACTTCGTAAAACATAACAATTTTGCGCCATCGTGTTCCTTGCATTCCATTCAACGCGCCGTCGTGTTGTTGCCAGAACTAATCGGCTAATCGCGACAGCTACCAGCCTGCGAACTCGCGGCACAAAACGGAAGCGCGTGACGAGTCGACCTCCAAATCACCGTCGTCACCGTGGTCTCGGAGAGTTTCCATCAGCGCATAATCTAACATCCCCTCGGGGTTGGCGACACGGTTGTCCGACATTAACAAAAGTCACAGTTTCGCTGCAAGGGCGAAGCAATGCGATAGCAACAACTTGGAATTGACAGCTGAGAACGGCAAGTAGATTGAAACGGGCAGCGCACTGCTCACGCACAAATGACGCACGAAAACAACATATGCAGGACGAGAGCGAACTAACAACATTTACCGCTCGACACTTAACGCGCTGTTTAAACAAAAACGAGGCACGAAACGTAATCACAGGTACAGATATAAATGCGAACCAACCAAGTGCCCCAGTTGTCACTTTGCTGTGTTTGAAAAGCGCACTCTTTTCGCAAACGACGCCTGTCCTTCGAATGAAGTGATCTTTGTGCGCCCGGCGACTAAACACAATCGTTCCGGTCAAAGTTGAAGGCGCGCGATTCTCTTCATCTTCACCGAAGGATATAAGGGCGCGCGCACAAGCATATAACACCCCCCCCCCCCGCCCTCCATTGCGGGGCAAAGTACGCGTGGGAGATAAGCGCGCGTCGGCGCATCGCAACAAACTGGGCGCCGTGAGCGGGCGGCTTTATATATATATATATATAAATATATATATATATATATATATATATATATATATATATATATATATATATATATATATATATATATATATATATATATATATATGAATAGCAGCAGCGATGGCAGAAAACCAGCCGAGACTGCCCCTATAATCGCTATCGCAATAATAAAAAAAGCAAAGCTGAACGTCGTCGGGGGCCGCGCCATGCGCGCAATGAAAGTATGCACGCGCGCACGGCGTCGAAAACGAAGAGCGAAAGACACGGACACCGCGGAAAACTAGTCGGTAAAGTGCCTTCCATGTGCAGCGCGGCCCCGCATATGTGACGCTGACTAAAAGCGTGGCACCGCCAACGAGAAAAAGTAGTTTTTCTTTTTTTATTTTGGTGTGAAGGGGGGGGGGGCGTGGGCACACACCCGCGCACGCCGGCACGTGGGGTGCAGGCCCACGCGCGCCCAATAACGAGCGATCGCTCTCGCCTGGTGCGCCGTGCGTGCCGCCGCCGCCGCTTAGCGCTTCGTCAGCGGCGGGGAAGTCGCGAGACATGCACGCTCCTGCCGAAATGCGGAGTAAAATTTCTAAATTGTTCGTGGGAAAAGTTTGTTATATCAAGGTTGTCTCCCACTGTTACTTTGTTACATAGAGGTCGCAAAAACACGTGCTTTTGTGGAGCAGCGACGGGGAATAGAAAAACTTCGTTATATCGAGGAATTCGTTATATGTAGGATTGTTATAAGTAGGTTTACCTTTATTACGAGTGGACATTGCTACAATGGATAGGGAGACACGACGATACACACTATGAGTGTAAACATTGGAAGAAAAAAAAACAAGCAAGAAATAGAGACATAAAAGAGCAAATAGAAAAAAATAGCACTTCTCCCTGGAGCGGCCGTATTTGTTCACACCAGCGTTTTGTAGGAGCTCTGCAATATCGGATCCAAAAGAGTTGGCTGCCAAGCCTTTATTCTTATAACATTAAAATTTTTTTGCTATCGCATTCATTGCATTCCATTCAACGCGCCGTCGCGTTGTTGCCAGAACTGATCGGCTAATCGCGAAAGCTACCAGCCGGCGAACTCGCGGCGCAAGACGGAAGCGCGTGACGAGTCGACCTCCGAATATCCGTCGTCACCGTGGTTTCGGAGAGTTTCCAACAGTGCCTAGTCTGACATCCAATCGGGGTAGACGACACGGTTGTCCGAAATTAACAAAAAGTCACAGTTTCGCTGCAAGGGCGAAGCAATGCGATAGCAACAACTTGGAATTAACGCTGAGAACAGCACGCAGATTGAAACGGGCAGCGCGCTGATCACGCACAAATGACGCACGAAAACAACATACGCAGGACGAGAGCGAACTAACAACAATTTCCGCTCGACACTTAACGCGCTGTTTAAACAAAAACGAGGCACGAAACGTAATCACGGATACCGATATGAGCGCGAACCAACCAAGTGCCCCAGTTGTCACTTTGCTGTGTTTGAAAAGCGCACTCTTTTCGCAAACGACGCCTGTCCTGCGACGAAGGGATCTTTGTGCGCCCGGCAACTAAAGACAATCTTTCCGGTCAAAGTCGCAGGCGCGCGATTCTCTTCATCGAAGGAAGCATCTCACATCTCCCCCCCCCCCTCCATTCGCGGGGCAAACGCGTTGGAGATAAGCGCGCGTCGGCACATCGTGACAAACTGCGCGCTGTGTGCGGGCGGTTTTTTTTTCTTGAGGAGTTTGCACACACACACACACACACACACACACACACACACACACACACACACACACACACACACACACACCACACACACATATATATATATATATATATATATAAATATATATATATATATATATCTATATATAGTATATATATATATATATATGTGTGTATATATATGAATGGCAATGGCAGCGGCGACGGCAGAAAACCAGCCGAGACTGTGCATATCATTGCTATCGCAATAAAAAAAAAGCAAAGGTGAACGTCGTCGGGGGTGGCGTCATGG